ACAAGAGGTCATAATTATTTCTGTTGTAGAAGCCCGTAGATATTTATTTAAAGGATGTCCTTCTTATTTGGCGTATGGATTGGTTGGTAGAGAACCAAGTTTGAGAAAAAGCTACTCTAGGATGTCGAGATGGTGTGAGACTACCCTGAAGTCTTCTCTAATGACCTAGTCGATTTACCACCCAAATGCCAAGTTGAATTTTCTCATCGATCTCATCCCTAGGAAGCTCCAATTTCTCATGAACACTATCGCTTGGCACCAACCAAAATGCAAGAAATTATGACCTAATTGCAAGAGATTTTGGAGAAAGGCTTTGTTAGAATGAGTTCCTCACCTTTGGGAGCTCCAGTTTTGTTCGTAAAGAAGAAAGATAAGACGATGAGAATGTGCATCCCCTACCATGAACTCAACAAGGCTACCGTAAAGAATAAGTATCCCTTTCAAGAATAGATGATCTATTCGATCAACTTTAGAATGCAGGATGCTTCTCAAAGAACGATCTTCGCTCACGTTACCATCAAGTGAAAATTCAAGAAGAATATGTCATGAAGATGACGTTTAGGACTCGTTATGGCTACTATGATTTTCTTGTAATGCCATTCAGTCTAACGAAGGTGCCTGCGGTATTCATGGACTTAAATTGATTCAGGTTTTCTAACCTTTCTTGGACAAATCTATTGATCGTGTTTATCGATGACCTTTTGATATATTCTAAAAATAAGGGGGAGCATGGGCGTCATCTTTGGGAGGTTTTGAGAGAATTGAGAAAGGAGACGCTTTGTGCCAAGTTCTCTAAATATGACTTTTAGGTCGAAGGAAGTCTAGTTTTTGGTATGTGGTGACTAAAGAGGGGTTAAGGTTGACCCGTCGATTGAATATCACGAAGCAATGATGTATTAGGAACCAGAAGGACCTGACTGAGATCAAAGTTTTCTTGGATTTAGCCGGATCTTATCGGAGGTCCATTCATGATTTTCTGAAGATTACTGTTGTCCCAAACGGATCTATAAGAGTTTTAAAGGTAACGGTTTGTAGAAGGGGGATGAATACAAACAAAGAGTTTTCACTTTTTAAATTCGTTTATTGATAAAAGAAGATCAATATGGAATTAATAGAGTGTTGCAAAAGAAGATAAAGTTAAGACTTCATCTAAACAATCTTAGAAACACACAAATTGCACAGAAGATAAGAACAACACAGAAGAGAGTTACAATGAGAAGAAGGTGCTTGCTGAGACGAGAGTCTTCTCAGCTATTTATATTCATTGCATTTAATGCAAGTTAGAGGTATGAGCCATGTGGAATACTTTTAGTGGAGAGCTTGTCCTTTGTTTTTCAGATATGCAGGCTTTTGGCCGCATATAAACAATTGACGTTCACAAAATTGGTAAGCATGTTTGGAGACAATAAAGTAACTTTGTACATGTACTTTTCTTTATGAGGTATGGGGTTGTCCTTTTTATGCAAGAGGATAAGACAAAAACTAATCTTGTAGAGAAAAATTAATTTGATTGCTGACACTTCAATTTAGACACACTTGTTCAGTGTTTGTTGAGTCTTAGTCAGATTTCACACGTCGATTTAGACACACTTGTTATCACTGAATCCACTTCAGATCATGAACTGTTGTCTCTATCTTCAGCTACTTCTTTGATAACACTGAAGGTTCTTTTAGTGTGAGTTTTGTCTTTGAGGAATACTTGTTCTTAAGGAAATTTACATAACATGTTCAGTGATCACTTGAATAGACTTAGAGATGATCGCTGAAACTGAACAAAAAATACAACAAGTACATTTCACTAAGTATGGAGGGTTATCATCAAATCATTGAGAGAGTTTGGATCAACAATTACTGAACCTCTAACATCAATTTGTATAGATCGATGAGCAATACGAAGCCTTTTAGATTTTATGGAGGAAGTTATGTGAGGCGCTAGTTCTATTCTTTCCTGAAGGATTTGAGGAATTTGTGGTTTATAATGACACCTCTAAGTTGAGCTTGGGAGGTGTTTTGATGCAAAGAGGTAAGGTGATCTCTTGCGCTTCAATACAACTCAAAGAGCACGAGAAAAAAACTATGTATCCCATGATATAGAGCTATCAACAGTGGTATTTGCCCTAAAGTTATGGTGTCATTACCTTTATGTTCAGAACCTAGTTCATGAAGAACCAAAGGCTACAACCACAAGATAACTCGGCGGACTAGAGCTCCAGGCCACCCTTTTTGGACATACTTCTGGACACAACCTTCTTGAAGAATGATCAAGTGTGAATCCCACATGCTACAACCATTCCCGCCCAAAGTTTGTTAGGGCACCTTTACACGTAGAACCTGTATGCTTTGACTTTCCTGCTTTAAGGTATAAATAGGCATTCACGCTTAGTTTATCGTAAGCTTTTGAATACAATTTGTCTTACATATTGTACTTACGATTATTACGATCAATCTTTCAAGTGTAATTCAGATCTTCAATCAATGCACATAATGATGATGGCAATTTAATCATATTGGTGATATTCTTCCTATTCTTCATCATTAAACTGTAATACCATATTTCATATCTTATTTGCTTTCACTTAATACATCATTAATTGGATCTAATTCAGAAATCTGGAACCAACACTATAAATGTTTGAGTTGGTCTAAATCTAAAGAAACAGAAGTAACAGTAGGTGAAGTAACAGAGTAATCAAGAGGTATATTACCTTCAACTCGTGAAACCTCTTGAATAATCTTAGAGACATGTAGAGAAGTATCTCTGGATGAGTTGTATTTATGTATATATTGTTCAGATATATCCTCTTCACTAAACTAGTATACAAACAGTAGATTGAGTTCTGATTCTCTAGACTTAGAACAAGAGGAATCAGAATATCTTAGTTAATATTGAATCCTGAACTGAGTTGTTCATAAGTCATTGAAGCCTTATCATCAAATGTCACATTGATTCTTTCAAGTACCATTCTGGTTCTGATGTTGAAACTCTGAAAGCTTTAGAGTTCAAGGAATATCTAAGGAATATGCCTTTATCTGCCTTCATATCAAATTTGCCATGATGTTTGTGTCATTGAGTATAAAGCATATGCAACCAAAGTCATGAAATAATTTCACATTAGGCCTCTTATAATTGATACTTTCATAGGGTGTTTTACCAAATCTTTTCTAAATGATAGATCTAATTTGTATAAAACAGGGTGTAGATACAACTTCTTATAGTTGATAATTTCATAGGGTGTTTTAACGCCGAATTTACTTAAGAAACACTCTCTAGGGTTATTCTTTCAAAACAGGTGATTGCAATGAATGCCAAGGGTGGCCTTTTAAGCCATCATTGCTTTTAATGCTATCTATCTAACTTTTTTGCATGTCTATTTCTTGTTCATTGATCCATGTATCATAACCCTCTTCATTTCATCCTTTGAGTTTGATGTAGACATGTTTTTAACTTATTCCATATTTTTAGTATGCCGAAGGAACAACAGAGCAAACAAAGTACTACTCGCATGGTGCCTAGCTTAAATTATATATATGTTCTTATAATAAGATTAGAAAGCAAGTGAGTTGGAGAGCAAAACTTTCTTGCCAAGCCAGTAGTAGTATTTGTCAAACTACTAATTGACTTTTTATCTTGTTCTAATCTTCTTTCGGCTAGATGACAAACCAATCCGCTTTGGTGACAATGTTGACCTCACTTCAACTAGTCTTAGATTTTGCTAAAGACATTATGCTCTTTGATCAATACAAATAGTTATAAGATTTCTACAAGTAAAATTCCCCATATCCGATAAGTAATATACAAATAAGATTTTACCAACTACAGACCATTTATGAAGTATGCATCCCATGTAAACTATAGCTGGTGCATGCATGAACCTTTACCCGATGGATGAATCAATTGAATCAAGGTTTCTTGGAAGCTTTGATGAAGGCTGACTATAGAAAGGCACACCCGATGAGGTGATATATCCGGGACTACTAAATAGATCGGATTATATCATTTGAGGTTTTTATCCAATGGGTGATGTACATCGGATAAGTTCCTTGAAAAGCAAAGAAAGCAAGAATGTTCTTTTCTAAGTGTTTGATCGGATGTCTATTTGTATTATATACAAATTCGATGGTTGAGACTAACAACTTATCATAGGAAGATCTAGATAAAGCTGAAGAAAATAAGAAATAAAATAGGCGCTTTTATACCAAGTTATATAGAATTACCAACTTAGTGAAGAAGTTTATCTTTTCAATTAACTGTCTCTTTACTTTCAGTAATTGTACATTTATTTTCAATCTATGTAACTTTGAACTTGTATTGAAAAGTTTATAATTAAGAGTGCTCTAAAAGAAATTCTCTAAGTGCTTAAAACATCTCTGAAAAACATAAATTGGGACACTAAATATATGAATTTTATTTCTTTACTTGTCCTAACTTAGTGTCAAATTAATTGTCCTAACAGATTCATGTATAACCGAGGGGTTTCCCGTGATGCCATTTTATCGTCCCGCGTATTGAATTTTTTTTCTAGGTCTTAAAAATGCATCCACTTTGATTCGATATATGCTCCCTTAAGTTAAGAAAAAACACTTAGCGTTCGCATTTTAATATTTTATGGAGTCGCCTCTAATGAAAATTAAAACACATATAACATCCAACACAATGTTTTAATAGCAAGTCACGTACTATATATAAGATATCTCTAATGCACGTATTTGTGGAATACATACCATCATATGTATCATCAGACATATTCTAGTCATCCCCATATTACTTTCACCTAAACTCAATGTAATACTTGACAAAAAGCATTTTAGTATATATATTATTCTAAAAAATTATGTTTAAATAAACACAAACAAACGATCATCTAAACACAATAATTTGAACATACACATTTAAGAGATTTCCATGTTGCATCAATAATTAAGAAAAATACTAAATGTTGTGCATTAATATTAGAATAACTAAGAAACATTACACAAATTAAGATATGATTGTTTCATCATTATTTGGTTTTGTTGCTCGCAAGTCGTTTTCTTAGTATCGTAACCCCCATGTACCTGCAATGAATTGAAAAAAAAAATCATTGTCATTTTGTAGTTGTAAAGAAAGGAGGAAGATTCATATATTGATGTTAAAACCATACATATTGCTGTTTTCAAAGTTAATCACCTTCCAAGCATTAAAAGACTCGCTTGGGGATTGGTTCCTGGTGAGATAATTAAAGTTGATCCGTCAATCACTCGAATAGCATCCACACCTTGAATCTTATAATTGTCATCGACTACCTTGCCCATTCGACAGCCTCCATGGTAATGCCATACAGTTCTAACATTGTCCTTGCAGTATTGTTCCAATGATGAGCTCGTATTGGCATGTGGGGGAAAAGTTGTTGGCATTTTAACGTTCAGGTCGAGAATATCTTGGATTGTCATATTTGGATATTTGAATTTCGAGAATGATTTTGATTCAATTGCTTTTAGGATTACTTTAACCCCAAGAACACATTTTTGCAAGTCATTGGGCTTTTTAAAGTAATTGAATTTTACTGATGGGTTGTCAGCTGGATTTCTATTTTGAAGCTTCAGGTAACCCTTGGATTGAGGGTAGTTAACTTTCTCGAATATAAATCCACCCATTTGAAAACAAGTAGAAGTGCTTAAAAGCTATATAACACTTAAACTCTTGTTGTGACTGTTATTGAATGAATTACCTCATAGGAATAACCCTGATAGTCAGAAGGTCTTGCTTCAATTAAATTGAAGCCCTCAACTGCCTCAATATAGCTTCCAGACTTTGTAATACCGACAATATTAACCAAGGATTGTGAGATGGGTACCGGAGAAGGGACAAAAATTTCGTTTAATGGGTTGTCAACCATGCCTTGACCAATTAAAGGATGGTGAAGCACAGGTTTGATGTTGTGGGTATGAAGTTGGTCCTTTGGACCTATGCCACTCAACATTAGAAGTTGTGGGCTTCCGAGAGCACCAGCAGATAGTATGATTTCATCCATTTCTCTTCCTTTTAGATATGCCTTATGCTTTCTACGTGATGCATCTTCAAACACTACCCCATAAGCCACTGGTCTTGTTCTACCTGTACAAGAAGATTGTTTTGAAATTGACTAATGATGGGGATAATATTTACTAAATTATTTAAAATATATGTTCTAATAACATGAAAATGAAGTAAATTTACCAATCATGGTTAACGTCACCATTATCTTGTAAATATGCTAATAAATATATAGTTAAATTTAAAAAACGTACCTTTGTTTTTGAATAAAATTTTGTATGCAGTTGCATGCAAAAGAAGATGCAACCCCTTAGGATTTGCATATTGTAGCAAATCTGCTGCCGTATGACGATGCCCATTTTGATCAAAAATAGTACCACCCACTTTAGTCCCGATGATGTGATCATATGTAAACCCGTTTTTTGGTGTCACTCCAGCTTCAACAAGCGCACCTTCCAATGCCGACTGCCACCTAGTCAGAATCGGCTTAAAAACCATCACCCTTTCTACCCATCGATAAGATTCATTAATCAATCTTTCATTCATTAGTTTGGCCACTTTTAGGAATCTTGCCTCACCATGAGAATAAAAGCCTCCATTAATTGAAGTACCGCCACCCAAGACACGTGGTCGTGCATTTACAACGCCGTCGACGGAAACAAATTGTTGAGAAGGGGAGTCGGGTGAGTTGTCGGAAAAGTAGGAGCCAAAGTTGGCTAATTTGGTGATGTTAGGATTGCCATAAGGTGAGCCACCACGTTCAAGCAGTAGAACTGAATATTTTTTAGATAGTGTGGTAGCTATTGGGATTCCTGTGGTGCCTCCACCAATGACTATGTAGTCGTAGAATGAAATCTTCGGAGCTTTTGTTGCTTCATGCATGAACGTATAGTTCGGAGCTGTATATGAATGAATTCACGATTTTAATGTTACAGATGAATTAAACATTAATACTTTTATCACTTTTTGTTCTGAAAATTTGTTAATTCTCATAAAACGTCTAACATTTTTATCAAATACTTTGTGTTTTATAGAATATGCAACATTTATTTCAATTAACATCATCACTTTTTTAGCTATCAAATTGATTTTGATCAACAATTTTTTCTTTCTAATATATATAGGAAAAGGTTCAAACGAGAAGTGCGCGCTAAATGTATGAGAAGTATAGAAGTAATCCTAACCCTTGAATTAAATGATCAAATTCTTTTTAAAGGAAAGGTAATATGGTAACTAGAAAAAAGCGGTGGCGATGATCACGATCTTGATCCCATTAATGTATTGATCGCTTCATCGCCATCGTCGATGACAACAACGGAACTCTAGTCGATGATATACAATCTCGGTCCCACTAACGATTCTATCATCGATTTCTCTCGATTATTTCTCGATCATATATTGCAGTCTAGGCTATTATAAATATTGTATTTCTTAAATCTTTTTTTGTTCAAATCTCGTATTCTTTCAATATTAATTTGAATCCATAAAGCGACTTGGAGCAAGATGTTGATTTCGATCCTAAAAATATAATTTTATACGTGAATCTAAGATTCTATAAATCAATTAAATACTTCATATATGAATCTTCGGGTTCATATGTGAATCACACGAGTTCCATATGCACATGTAGTTCATATGTGAATTTATATAGGTTCATATATGCATATGTAGTTTATATGTGAACTAAATAGGTTCACATATGCACTTGTTTGTCGTCTATTTATAAAAGTTATAAAATTACCCCTCTATCTTCCGTATAGCTATTACTATGCGACTGAATTATCTCCTGCTGCACAATCAAGCCCTCAAATCTTGACCGTTAATGTTTTAATATAAGGGTAACGATGACTTCTTTATTTCTCATACATTTAACACTTCTCGAATTAACATATATATATATATATATTTCGTCATGTGCTTTTTTCGATTTACAATGTTATAGCACACCATCGAATATTGATTTTATAGTAATTTAGAATGAAAGATGCATTACAACAACAACAAAAATGATTTTAGAGTACGTTTAGTCAAGGTATTTTATAAGACTCTAAACCAAAATGCATCAGATCTAAAAGTGTTTTAATAGGTTTATACGACGCTTTTAATCATTTTAACAAAAAATTTAGAACGTTTTTAAAACAAAGTGTCGTACTAACTAATTTTATACGATACTATTTGAAATAATGTCTTATAAACACAAGTGTCCTATAAAACGATGTGTTTATAGGACACTTCTCAAAGGTGTCCTATAAAATAGCTAATAGAACGTTTTTTTTTTTTTAAATGTCTTAAAAAAAATTTAAAACGCCTAAAAACGTTTTATAAACTTATTGTAACACTTTTAGATATGACGTTTTACAGTTTGGTCCTATAAACCTAAGCTCAAATTAAGTATTCTATTAGAACGCTTAAACAATCTAGACATTCTATCAAACCAGTTTTGTTGTAATGACGTATTTAGATACGACTTTTCATGTATTTTACCTGAAAGACGTTGCTTGTGTCGTATTTTTATTTAACACCTACATGGAAAAGTGTTCATTTATCAAAAAATAAGATGAACGTTTGAAACAAAAACCCCATCAAAGCTATATATTATTGGGTTTTAAAGCTTAAATGTCAAAATGCTTTTTCTTAATAAAACATAAAAATATTAAAATTAAGATCACAATATTTTTGAAGGAAATTAAAAATCACAATTTTAATTGTTGACAAACATAAATATTGAACACCTGCCATATTATTCTCAGTTCTCACGTTATTAACATAAAAATTAGCAAACAAGACTGAAATCGCTTTCCTATTTTATATATATATATATATATATATATATATATATATATATATATATAGGGGCTTAATCAAATGAGAACTGATTAGTTTGTGGTAACTGTGAGAACCAATATTAACCACAAATCAATAGATAAGTTAGGAAATTTATAATTTTGGCAATTTTGAATTAAAATATTAATGCAAGGATATTTTTGGTATTTTAAAACTTTCCTCCCTCCTCTCTTCTCTCTCCGGCCACCGTTCTCCGGTCACCGTCCGCTGGCCACCGTCCTCCGGTGATACTACAATGGTATCACAATGCATCATATATGTGTTTGGGTATCACATTGATGTCGTTTGTGTGGTTGATCGAAGATGTAACACAATGGTATCACTATGCATCTTATATATGATTAGGTATCACAATGTATCTTTTGTTTAACAGAGTCAATATTTTTAGGTATCACAGTGGTATCATAGTGGTATCACCGGAGGACGGTGGTCGGAGGCCGGAGAACGGTGGCCGGAGAGAGAAGAGAGGAGAGATGAGAGTTTTAAAATACCAAAAATATCCTTGCATTAACATTTTAATTTAAAATTACCAAATTTATAAATTTCCTAATTTATCTATTGATTTGTGGTTAATATTGGTTCTCACAGTTACCACAAACAACTCAGTTCTTCCTTGAATAGGCCCCTATATATATATATATATATATATATATATATATATAGCAAATTAACTTGACCATCAAAATAGAGTACATACGTATCTCGCCGCTGCAAAACTCATGAAAGCATAAAATTGCCATGATGGTTATCTGTAGCGCATAACTCAACATCTTGCCTTGACGATATTAATGTGTTTATTTACTTGTTTGTGATGGTAAGTATGAGAAGACCGAAGGTATTTATAGAAATCTGATAGCCCGAAAAAGTACTATTATTTCTTAGATAAGACGGATCAACCAGCACTAAATAAAAGTGTAGGAATCTAGAGGATGTAAACACTTCAGAGAGTTTAATACTTTAAGCAAATTGGTATTCATTATATTTAATCTTCAAGTAATATGGATTTCACCAATAATTTTTGAATTGATTAGCAGGGTCGGCCCTAGCACTCGGTTGGGTGATGGTCCATAGCAGCACAAGTCCAAGTGTATCAATTCATTGGAAAACACCAAACAACAAGACTCGAACATGGAACCGTGGATTTTCGGACCAACTTATGCGTATCTACCGTGGTCGCCTGGAGTCATCTAAGGTGAACCTCCATGGCCACAAGGGCTTTGATAGCACCTGGATTTGAACTTGAGGTGGATGAGATATTCCACAACATCCTCCTAGGTTTTACCGGTGCACCACAACCCAGTGTGGTTATGCATTATCTAGTTTTTAACATATTGAGAATTGGCTTCAACACTGCTTGAGCACATCATTATACATAACCAAGTTATTTTACAAATAATGAACATATAATGTTGTTTGTTTTAGCATGAACACGTGATAGGTTTTAATATATGCTTAATATAGTTTGTTTTCAATTTATTTCGAATGGTTTCTGGATAATAAATACTGTAACATGACGTTTTAGTAACTAGAAATCGTTGATCAAAAGTTTTTATGCTATCTCAAACAAATTGCCATTGTAAGTAAATTGTTGTTCAAAACATCATTTCAACGTTGTAACAAACAACAAAAAAATTGTCTTTTTTTAGATTGGAAGCACTTCTAACTATTCTCGCTTAAAACAACAAAAATCATAGGATCAGCCTTGTTGACCATACGCCTTCATCTCTGTGATTTACTCTACTTTCGTTTGATATTATATCTGATTTTAGTCTTTCATTTTTTTAAGTAATCTAAATGATTTGTTGTATTCATTAAATATCCAAGATAAAAATGTATATTTGTTTTTTAGTATATTACATTCTTGGCCCTTGTGGTTGCCACTTCCCACTTACCGTGACGTGGTAAGCTCCTGCCGATTCGATTACCTTATCCGGTGAACATAACAAAGACCGAGAATCTTACCAGATAAGTGATGGCAAGAATTGAGAGTCTTACCTAGTAAATGAGGGTGATGACTCTTACCAAGTTACAAACGTTTACCATCAATTAATTTTGATGGCCAGGAATGTTACCTCGCAAGGTAAATGATAGTAGTGACTCTTGCCGGTAAGTGCTTATCCGGTAAGAGTTTGGTGAACCGTCCCTTACTATCATTTTTGGTTCATCTTTTAAAATAATATTATCTTGGTCATTATGGTTATCGTTTTATTTCACTTTTGATCTCTTTGGCTAAATTTAATTAAAAACTTTAAGATATATTGGTCTTTGTATCTTTTTTTTATCTTTGTACTTTTTGGTTTTAGATTTATAGTAATTTTTGATTTTTGTCGATGTGGTTTGTATCTTTCCTTTTGTCTTTCCCATCTTTTTTACCTTTTCATTTTATATCACATCATAATTATATTAATTAATTAGAGATAGTTTTAAATGAAAAACTATTTTATTATATAAATTACAAACTACAATAAAATTGGGTTTATAGGACGCCTCCAATCTCTAAGCATTCCAATAAACCGTTTTATAATACCAAAATATAAAGCGTCCTATCTAAAGATGTAATAATAAGTTTATATGACGCTTTTAGGTGTTTTAACAAGTTTTTTAAGACATTTTCAATATAATAGCGTCGCATTAGCAACTTCATAGGACACTTTTGAGAAAGTGTCCTATAAACTCAATTTTTAGGACACTTATTTTTATAGATAGTGTTCTATAAAATTGCTAATTGGACGCATTATATTAAAAGTGCCCTAAAAAACTTATTAAGATATCAGAAAACGTCATATAAACTTATTACAATGCATTTAGATATGACCCTTTAATTTTTGTTCCTATTAACTAAGCCTATAAAAAGGTCTATTAGAACACTTAGAAGTTGGGAGCGTCCTATAAACCCGATTTTGATATAGTGACACCATTAGAAAAATCTTGACGATACCTTTAAAATGAGAAAAGTATTGAACATTTTACAAAAAATTATGCAATTTATCCGATGTATATATCTTCAAACCCGTCTACACTACTAAGAAAACATTTCC